ACTGCTTAAGACCACAAATATAACAGAAATAATAGTATTTCTTACCTTAAATTGTGGGTGCTGGTGCTTGTGGATGATTGTGAAAAGAGTGGAGTTATGCTGTGGCCGTACTGGGTTGAGGTGGATGGTAGAGGTTCTGGTACTGAAGTCAATAGTTGTACTGGAGTGTCTAACTTTAAGTCATTCAGTCAGTCAAGTCATTCAGTAAGTCAAATCATTCAGTCAAGTCAGTAAGTCAGTCAGGTCAATAAATCAGTAAGTTATTCAGTCAAATCAGTCATTTATGTCATTCATTAAGTCAAGTCATTCAGTCAGTCAAGTCATTCAGTCAGCCAAGTCATTAAGTCAAGTCATTCAGTCAGTTAGTAAGTCAAGTCATTCAGTCAAGTCAGTAAGTCAGTCAGTCAAGTCACTCAGTAAGTCAGTCAGGTCATTCAGTAAGTCAGTCAAATCATTCAGTAAGTCAGTTAAGTCATTCAGTAAGTCAGTCAAGTCATTCAGTAAGTCAGTCAAGTCATTCAGTAAGTCAGATCATTCAGTAAGTCAGTCAAGTCATTCAGTAAGTCAGTCAAGTCATTCAGTAAGTCAGTCAAGTCATTCAGTAAGTCAGTCAAGTCATTCAGTAAGTCAGTCAAGTGATTCAGTCAGTAAGTCAAGTCAGTAAGTTATTCAGTCAAATCAGTAAGCTATTCATTCAAGTCAGTCAGTCATTCAGTAAGTCAGTCAGTCACACAAACTCATGTTTACCTGTTTTTATGTGTACAAAGTAACACTTCATTATGCCACAGGTTGTCTCTTGTCTAATATCTTTGTTTTCTTTGTTAATTGCCACTTTCAGCAACACTGGTATGCCTACTGGGTGTCATGATTGCTTGGTAGATACAAGATATAGTAATAAAAAGATCAAAACACAATTCACGAACACAGCTAGCTTGTAGCAGAGAAGAAATACTGGACACATATGAAGGAATGCTGGGATAGTGGGGTGGTGTCGGGGGATGGCAGGGGATGGCAGGAGGTCTTCCCCGCTGATCCACAACAAGGCGGCTGCATGAGGGAAAGGGATTTTTTTTTTTTTGTTCCCGCAAACTGAACCGTGTTAAATTATGATGTGTTACATAAAATTGTGCCGCAGTTCTTCAGTCGTGCTATACCCGAATCGTGCCAAATAAACTCGTGCTAAATGACAATCTACTGTACCTTGAAACTGGGCTCACAGTAGTGGATATGTTCGATTCTTTAGCAATGTTCAACAGTAAACAAATGACGTCACTGTCTAATACATGTGCACCTGCCAGTCCAAATTCCAATACGCTGTCAAGAATGAGTTGACATTATTTATACAATTATTACAATAATGCAGTAGTCTGCATAACAGTAAATCTTCTATTTTTTGTGTGAATAAAAATTCTAAATGGTAAGCACGAGTAATATAAGAGGGACCTGGAGCCATGACTAATAAACAGAGAAAATGTTATTTTAGTGCCAGGAATGTCTTCATTGTTTATTCTGGATCCTATTTTGAAATTGACATCTGTTGAAATTTGTGTGAAATTGGACAAATTGCCAATTTCTGACCACTTTATTGGGTAGTTGAAATAGGTGAATGGGCAGTTTTTGTACTCGGTCGACAGAATAGAAGTACAGTGGACCCTTGTTTTTCGTAAGGCTCGAAAGGCGTAATTTTCAGAAATTGTAATGTTTTTTTCATCAAAACATTGACTCTAGAATTGTCGTTTGACTCGCAAAAAGTCGTTCGTCTTGGAAGTGTACACATGGCCCCATGCCGCCTCACACTCCATTCTCAGCCAGTGTGCCATTGTTTACCAGTGAGTGACCATCCCCTCATGTGTTCATACGAAATATTTCATAATATTCCATTCATTTTAGTGCTTACAACTGCTAAATAAGCTACCATGGCTCCAAAGAAAGCTCCTAGCACCATGCCTTTGGTAAAGAAGGTGAGAAATACAATTGAATTCAAGAAAAACATCATTGAACAATATGAAAGTGGTGTACTTGTGGCAGAACTGGCTGGGATGTATAAGAAACCCCATACAACCATAGCTTCCATCATGACCAAGAAAAAGGAAATCAAGGAAGCTGTTGTTGCAAAGGGGGTAAATATGCTGACAAAAAATAAGATCGCCAGTACTCGAAGATGTTGAGAAGTTATTGTTGGTGTAGATCAACGAGAAACAATTACCAGGAAATAGTCTTATGCAGTCGATTATTTGTGAAAAAGTTAGGCAGTTGCATGACAATCTCGTAAAGAAATTGCTTGCAACTAGTACTAATATTTGTGAATTTAAGGCCAACAAAGGCTGGTTTGAGAGATTTAAGAACTGTAGTGGCATACACAGTGTGATAAGGCATGGTGAGGTTGCCAGTTCTGACAAAAATGCAGCTACAAAATTCATAAGTGAATTCAAGGAGTACATACAGACTGAACAATTAAAACCCCAACAAGTGTTCAGTTGTGATGAAACAGGCCTCTTTTGGAAGAAAATGCCAAAGAGGACCTACATTACTCAGGAGGAAAAGGGACTGCCAGGACACAAGCCTGTGAAAGACAGGCTAACTCTCATATTTTGTAGTAATGCTAGTGGGAATTTCAAAGTGAAGCTGTTCTAGTGTACCATTCTGAAAATCCCTGAGTGTTCAAGAAAAGCAATGTCATGAAGAGTAAATTGTGTGTGTTTTGGAAAGCTAATAATAAGGCATGGGTCACGAGGGACATTTTCCTTGGTTGGTTCCATGAAGTGTTTGGCCCCAGTGTGAAGAATTACCTCCTAGAAAATAAATTGGAACTCAAGTGCCTCCTGCTAATGGACAATGTACCTGCTCATCCTCTAAACTTGGATGACCTAATTCTGGAGGAGTTAAGGTTCATCACAGTGAAGTTCTTGCCCCCTAATACCACTCCTCTCCTCCAGCCCATGGAGGAGAGGAGTGGTATTAGATCATTTCAAATTTTGAAAAACTCTACACCAAAGCAATGTTTCAAAGGTGCTTTAATGTGACTACAGACACCCACTTGACCCTAGGAGAGTTTTGGAAAGATCACTTCAGTATCCTCCATTGCATAAGCCTTATAGGTAAGGCTTGGGAGGGAGTGACTACCAGGACTTTGAACTCTGCTTGGAGAAAAATGTGGCCAGATTGTGTCCACAAGAGGGATTTTGAAGGGTTTGGGGCTGAACTTGAGGAGCCTATGGCAGTTGTGGAATCTGTTGTGGCATTGGGGAATTCCATGGGGTTGAATGTGAGTTTGGAGGATGTGGAAGAGGTGGTGGAGGACCACAACAAAGAGCTAACCACTGAAGAGCTGCAAGAGCTTCAGCTGGAACAGCAAGAGACTGCAGCTCTGAATATTGCTTCAGAGGAGGAGGGAGAAAGATGGAAGAAGATGTCTTCCTCAGAAATTAAGGAGATTTTTGAAATGTGGAGTAGGATGGAAAGATTTATGGAGAAACATCACCCTGACAATGCTGTTGCAAGCTATGTTGGCAACATTACAGTGACAAAATCTTGGCCTATTTTAGGGAAGTTTTAGAGAGACGCCAGAGACAGAGCTCTCTGGACAAGTATTTAATGCCACAGGTGTGCAGTGACTCAAGCTGGTCCTAGGGACATTAAAAAACAAAGAAGGGAAGTAACCCCAGAAAAGGACTTGGTACCTGAAGTCTTTATGGAAGCGGATTCCCCTTCCAAACAGTAAAAAATCCAATCTCTCCCCTCCTCCAGTCTTCCATACACTAAGAAGAATCACCAATAAAGGTAAGTGTTATGCTGTTAATGTTTCATTCTTCATGTCTCATTGTTTTCTGTGTATGTACATCTATATTTCTTGTAAAAAAAAAATTGTTTTAATATTTTTGAATGTCTGGAATGGATTAATTGTATTTACATTATTTCTAATGGGAAAAATGGTTTCGCAAATCATCAATTTCGATAATAGTCACACTTTCTGGAATGGATTAATTACAAAAAACGAGGGTCCACTGTAAGTAAATAAGTAAGTTTATTCAGGTATACACAAATACAGTTACATAGATTATCATACATAGTAGTGTATGTATAGAGAGCCTGGGATAACCCAAAAAAGTCAAAGTGACTTATTTCCAGTACCTGGCTTCGGCTTGCCATATATGATTTTTGGTAAATATTTTTTTTCTCAGTTGTTTGTTGGACTATCTTATTGACTTCCTACAATAAATTCTGCTCACCTCTCATCTACATTAAGGCCAAAAATATTTTGAGGTAGGTAATGAATGTACTTTATATGCACTTTCCTTTTTTATTGTTTTTAGCCCTAATCTATTGCTAACTTAATGTATGATAGTGTAAACTTGTTATCAGACATTTATATGGATTTATAAGTGAAAAAAAGATGATTCGCTTTACAGCATAGCCTGGAGCCTAACCCGCCGTATAAGCGGAGTCCTCCTATATTTTATAATGCTGGAACAAAGGAAAATGTCAGTAAAATCTATGGGACTTTATTCTTTTAATGCTTGGGGAACTATAACTCATTCAGGTTCATGAAAGGTAGGTGAAATTTTGTCTATAATTATTTTCTTAATTTTTTTTTATCAAATGCCTTAATAATTTGTATATTTTTCCTGCATGTTTGATTTATTCATATATATTTTGTATACATTGGTCATGAACCATATATTTATATATTTATATTTATCTACTTATGACTAACATCCACTGGTAACACCTCCCAACGAAAGGGTCTGTGGCATACTGTTTATGTACTCAGTGTTCCGTCTGCTTAAGAGATAATCTTTGTCAGTACATAAAAATCTCTGTATACTCAGTGGGTAGTACTGTACTGTGTATGTCACTGGCTTGTTGACTTACATCTTGTGCCGCTCCTCCCAACCCTCCCCCTGCCCTGTTCTCCATGAACCAGTCTTGCTGCCATACTGGTGGTTCTCTGTAGATGCTAACCAGCCTCTTCTTCCTCCTTGCATTGTTCCTTCATGCAGTCGTGGCCAGCACCTCCAGGAGCTGTTAGCAAGCTTATTGGCACCTCATCGGCCTCAGAGCTGTCCCTCTACTGTGTAAGTAGGACTTAGTCATTCATGATTGATTTCACCTCCTACAGCATCTGACATCTCTGCTACCTTTATTTCTAGGATTTTGAAACCTTTATTTAAAAACCTCCTAAAACTTTCAAAGCATAAATTCAGTAATTAGTCCATCCTTCTCTCTATGTTGAATGCCACTATCTTGAAAAATATTTCATCAACAATTCTTCCTTCACTGAACACTAAATTTCATAAATAGTTTTTAATAAATAAACTCTCCAACTTCTAAAGGTTTTATTTTGACATTAAAGTATTCCAGTATTTTGCCCTTGTATTCTTTAACTTACAGAGCCTTGATCTAAATATTATCCAGTCTCTTCAGTCCTGCCATGTTAATGTGTGAAAAATTTGCTTACTTTCCTCTTGTCTTTGATCCTTCTGTTTCTTGTGTTACCTTGATTCTTCTGTTTCTTGTGTTTACTCTCTTTAATCCTTCTGCTTTTTGTGTTACTCTGATGCTTCTGCTTTTTGTGATCTTTCTTTTGGGAACTTCTACTTCCAGTGATCTTGTCTTCAGTACCTTGTGCATGTAGTGATCTTGTCTTTGATACCTTCTGCGTGTAGTGATCTTGACTTCACTACCTTCTACATATAGTGATCTTGTCTTTGATACCTTCTGCATGTAGTGATCTTGTTTTTGATTATTGTTCTTATATTGACCCTCTAACTGTCCAAACGTAGATCTACGTTTGCTCGCGAAGCGCTCCGAATATAGATCTACATTTTTTTACATTCTTTCTTGTGGAGAAAATCAAGGTCGGAGCACTACGCTCGCAAACATAGATCTACGTTTGGACAGTTTAAGGGTTAAATGGAGGTTCTTAACTTGACTAAGTCACTTACCAGTGATGAAGGGAAGAGGTCAAAGTGTTGAGGGTAGGGAAGACACTTAACCCTTTGAGGGTCGACAGGCCCTCTCCGAAACTCGTTCTCAGGGTCGGCCAAATTTAAAAAAAAAAAAATTATTTTCTCTTATGAAAAGATAGAGAATCTTTTCCCGATCATAAAGACACCAAAAGTTTGAAATTTGATAGAAAACTTACGGAATTATGCTCTCGCAAAGTTAGCGGTCTCGGCGATGTTTACGCATCGGCGATTTTGCCCACTTTGAGCCCCATTTTCGGCCAATTTCACTGTACTAGTCGACAAAAAACATGAATATTTCGCTAGAACTCCATTTTTTCTATCGAATGGATGCAAGAAACCACTCATTTATGAAATTCAACTATCCAGTACAGTGGTCAGAATTTAACAATTTTGCCAATTTCACACAAATTTCAAAAGATGCCAATTTCCGAATAGGGTCCAGAATAAACAAGAAAGACATTCCTGGCACTAAAATGACATTTCCTCTAGTCATTAGTCATGTCTCAAGGCCCTCTTATATTCTTTTGCTTTCCACTTTGAATTTTTATTTTCACAAAAATATAAGATTTACTGTTATGCAGACTACTGCATTAGTGTAAAAAATGGTATAAATATTATTGGTGCACTTGTGAAAGAATATTAGACTCACCAGTTGACGTGTATTGCACGCTTGGCACGATTTGTTTACTTTTAAAGTTTGGTAAAAATCGAACATTTCTGCTACTTTGAGCTCAATTTCAAGGCACCTTTCTTTGTAAAACCAGTCAAAATCATCTCAATTTCTGTAATATGTCTTCCATTCTATAAAATGAGACCAAGAAAACTAGAATACAACAATAAATACCATACGAAAATACACTGCAAAGTCGCTGATTTATTAAAAAAAAATGGTCAAAGTTTCTTTTTTCTCATTATGCACTGTGTGCTGCAGGATTTTTTTTAGACTGTGCACACTGACCACATAGACCCATTCTTTCATATGAAGGCCTACCAGCTTTCTCCCACTAGATTTGAGGCCGCTAGAATTTATGAGTACTAGTACGTCAAAAAACCCTACGCGTAAGACGTACTAGTACGACGAAAACCCTCAAAGGGTTAATGGTCTGAGGGGTAGTGGAAAGTTACATGCCTGCACTGTAACTATCAAGAGGGCAGTTGCATAACCAGAAGGGTGTGTGCTAGCAGATGCTCTGCTTAATGCTAGCCAAGTATGCTACTTTCTTCACAGACTGTAGACCAAGTGCCACCACACTTGCTCCTTGCTACTCAATATCTCAGTTTTTAGGAGCCCACAGTCCACAAACTAACTGCTTGGGCAGCAAATGTGCAAGTGAGCAAGCACCCAGCCCTCTAGCAAATTGTGATGGGTCTTTTTATGACAAGTCAATCAATTCAGTGGGGGTCCAGCACTAAACTTTTCATTTTATACTTCTGTCATCTCACCAAAAGAAGAATACTTCCCACCAGTGGGTCACAGTTCCAGAAAGAGGCTCAGCTTTCAGGCGAGTGGAAATGAGGAGTATGTGGAAGCAGTGCTTATTGAGACTCCGTGACCCAATGTATCAGTGAAGACTATAATCACCACCAGAAACAAAAAATGTCTGCTCTTAGATAACCCTTGTCTGTTAGCACTTCCAGTTCCTATGATTTTGTCTTAGCCTTCCTTCTTGTAATTTTTGTCATCTTCTACACCCTGTGAATTTTGTTTTATCTTCTATGTCCTGTGATTTTTGTCTTATCTTCTCTATTTCCTGTGATTTTATTTGTGAATGAAGTTGGTCAGAAGCTTTGATCTCTGAACTGTTTATAACTGTCATTCTAGTATACAGGTCTCCCTCAACATTCACATTTTCAACTTTTGCGGGCTTCACACATTCGCGAATTACCAACCGCCAAATTCCCAGCCTCCAAATTCCCAGCCGCAAAATCATATTTAAGTTTCCCGCCACCTGCGAGTCCCTACTACCCTCCCTCCGACCCCCCCCCCCCAACTGGCAGCCAGCCCTCCCACCAGTGTGGTGAGTGTTTTGTTTGTTCATTATTTGCTATTAAACTACAGTATAAATAATGTAAACCCATTCATAATTGCATATTGGAATGACTATTCGGACAGGTATTGGACGGTGACATCATGTGTTGACTATTGAACACAGCAAAGAATCAAACATTTCTGCTACTGCTAATAATAACAATAGTAGTAGTAATAATAATAATAATAATAATAATAATAATAATACAGTGGACCCCCGCATAACGATATTAATCCGTTCCTGAGAGCTCATTGTTATGCGAAATTATCGTTATGCGAATGAATTTTCCCCATAAGAAATAATGGAAATCAAATTAATCCGTGCAAGACACCCAAAAGTATGAAAAAAAAAATTTTACCACATGAAATATACATTTTCCTACAAAGAGAAGGATACATGCACAATAGTAGAGTAGTACATGCACAATATATATTGCGCATGTACTACTCTACTAAATGAAGAATAAATGACACTCACCTTTATGAAGATGCAGCAATGACTGATGAGACACTGTGTCCTGGGAGTGCCTTTTCCTCCTGAGTACTAGATAAGATAAGATAAGATTTCGTTCGGATTTTTAACCCCGGAGGGTTAGCCACCCAGGATAACCCAAGAAAGTCAGTGCGTCATCGAGGACTGTCTAACTTATTTCCGTTGGGGTCCTTAATCTTGTCCCCCAGGATGCGACCCACACCAGTCGACTAACACCCAGGTACCTATTTGCTGCTAGGTGAACAGGACAATAGGTGTAAGGAAACGTGTCGGAATTTCCACCCGCCGGGAATCGAACCCGGGCCCTCCGTGTGTGAAGCGGGAGTTTTAGCCACCAGACCACCGGGCCACCGTGGTCCTGTTTTGCATTTTCTTCCAGAACAGGCCTTATCACACTGTGTATGCCACTACAATTCTTAAATCTCTCAAACCAACCTTTGCTGGCTTTAAATTCACCAATATGAGCACTAGTTCCAGGCGTTTTTCCCTGTTCACCTGGGTGTTAGTCGACTGGTGTGGGTTGCATCCTGGGAGACAAGATTAAGGACCTCACTGGAAATAAGTTAGACAGTCTTCGATGACACTGACATTTTTGGGTTATCCTGGGTGGCTAACCCTCTGGGGTTAATTGTTTCTTGGTATTCTCAATAAGCCACACCAAGAACGGTGCTACAGCAGCAGCAGCTGACAGTGCTACAGCAGCAGCAGACGATGCTACAGCAGCAGCAGACGATGCTACAGCAGCAGCAGACGGTACTACAGCAGCAACAGCAGCAGCAGACAGTACTACAGCAGCAGCAGCAGCTGACAGTGGTACAGCAGCAGCAGCAGCTGACAGTGCTACAGCAGCAGCAGCAGCTGACAGTGCTACAGCAGCAGCAGCAGCAGCTGACAGTGCAGTAGCATCAGCAGCAGCAGCAGCTGACAGTGCAGCAGCAGCAGCAGCAGCTGACAGTGCTACAGCAGCAGCAGACGATGCTACAGCAGCAGCAGACGATGCTACAGCAGCAGCAGACGGTACTACAGCAGCAGCAGACGGTACTACAGCAGCAACAGCAGCAGCAGACAGTACTACAGCAGCAGTAGCAGCTGACAGTGGTACAGCAGCAGCAGCAGCAGCTGACAGTGCTACAGCAGCAGCAGCAGCTGACAGTGCTACAGCAGCAGCAGCAGCAGCTGACAGTGCAGTAGCATCAGCAGCAGCAGCAGCTGACAGTGCAGCAGCAGCAGCAGCAGCTGACAGTGCTACAGCAGCAGCAGACGATGCTACAGCAGCAGCAGATGGTACTACAGCAGCAGCAGCAGCAGACAGTACTACAGCAGCAGCAGCAGCTGACTGTGGTACAGCAGCAGCAGCAGCAGCTGACGGTGCTACAGCAGCAGCAGCAGCTGACAGTGCTACAGCAGCAGCAGCATCAGCAGTTGACCATGGTACCACAGTATTTCGATAATATTTCTCACCCTTTTTACCACAGGGTTGGCACTAGAAGCTTTCTTGGGGCCCATGGTCATTTATTTTGCAGATAAAATCACCAAAAACACTGTAATAATACAAAATGTTACGATTGTATGCTTGGATGTTAC